CTGATTTTTTTTTAATAGTTTTTTGAGACGTCAATCAAATATAGAAAATTCCAATCTCCAAATGGCTAGTATAAACAGTCTATTAAATTATCGAAACATAAAGAGAACTATAAAAATCCTATATATTTGGACCATAGATGATGGCTCGGCATTGGGACAATTAGAAAATCTTGGCATGGCTCATAAGCTTTATTTTCTTTACTTTGTAACTTAACATGAGTATTTACGGCAACTTGAGTTTCTTAATGTAATACAATGATGGGATAAAAAAACTTCTTTCACCAATAAATATGCATCTCATATATATGTTTTTGTTTTTAATTGCATAGTATTTAAACAATATCAAGTGAAAGAAGAATGAAGATGAGTGTTGGAGTTAATTCACCTTACAAAGGTGTTGATGAGTTAAACCACTGTAAAAGCAAAATGGAAAATTAAACTCCTTACTGGAAATTTGAATGTAAAGCTGAAGAGTAATTGGAGAAAACTTACGTAACTTGTGTGGTAATTATAGGGCAGAGACATTCATTCTATGTAACCTCTCGACAGTCTCATATCTACTGCTTCCAAGTCCCTCCACATAAGCTGTGAATCCACACCACCCCTTTATTTTCGTTTCCACTGCCCCCAACGAACGGTCTTATCTATTTCCTTTGTGATAAGACTTTTTCAAATGTTGGAATCTACTAATATATATAGCACATGTGACAAAACAGAAAACGCCTACGTGTTTTTTCATGTAAGCGATCTGAGACTTCCCTTGTTCCCGCTTCCATGGCAGAGTTACGAACCGTAGAACCCCGAAGACTCAAACTCCCTCCTTTGTTTCTTCTTCCTTGGTGAGATTATCATATCAAATAAAGTAGAACCACATATATTTATATAAATATATGATTAGTCACGTTTGGGTAGATGAGAAGATGGAGAAGGAATAAAATTAAGTATTAAACATTGAAACTTTAATAAGCAGACGAAAAGACAGTCAACGAATGAGAAAGCCACATAAATTCAAAGATAATTTTTTGGTTTATGTATATAAAATAATGATGTTCCATCTTCTCAACTGATTTATGTGTATTTTCTTTCATTTTTTTTAATTATTATCTATATAATTTTTCAGAGAAAACAATAATTTTCAATCAAATATGGCCAACAGCCGTACATATATTTTATCATTTATTTTTGGATAAATCTGTTTTTAATCACATTTATAATCTAATATATCAACGTTTTATTCCAAAGAAAAAAAAGAGTTAATTTGCATTTTGCTGTATCTAATTATAATTTTTGTGCTAATAATACTCCTTAATCATTTTATGGAAAACAAAAAATTAAGAAAAAGGGGTCGGGGGGTAATTTCCCTCGCTTCCATGAAAATCCCTAATTCAATCGGAGTACACAAACCCTACGATGAATCAATTTAAAACCGCCGTCATTCTAATCATCGGCGAATCAATAACCCTAATTTTCACGGCGACGAGGAGAAGAAGAAGAAGATGGCGATAGAGATGCCAAGAGGTTTACCATTTTCGGTCGACACTTTTGGACCTTACACGACGACGAAGACAAAGAAGAGACATCATTTCTTGACTCATGCTCACAAAGATCACACCGTCGGGATTTCTCCTTCCAATAATACCGTCTTCCCCATTTACTCTACTTCCCTCACCATCTCTCTTCTCCTCCAACGTCAACTTCACCTTGATGAGTCTTTCTTCGTGAAGATTGAAATTGGACAGTCAGTGACTGTTGATGATGATTCAGATGGAGGATTTAAGGTTACTGCTTTCGATGCGAATCATTGTCCTGGTAAGCTCCGTTTGCTAAAATTTGTAATCCTTTTTCGATTGTTCTAAATTGGGATCTGTATTTGACGAATTTCATTACTTAAAAACGAAAAAAAAACTTCAGGGGCCGTCATGTTCTTGTTTGAAGGAAGTTTCGGTAACATACTTCACACTGGTGATTGTAGGCTTACATGGGATTGCATACAGAGTCTGCCTGAGAATTATGTGGGAAGAAGACATGGCAATGCGCCAAATTGCTGTCTCGATTACGTTTTCTTGGATTGTACATTCGGGAAATCAACTCAGAGGTTCCCGACTAAGCATTCAGCGATTAGACAGGTGATTTTGACTGAATCATATCACTTTCCTTAATGCTCCATTAGAACATTTGCCATTGATTTTGTGTAAAGTTTCTAACTTTTTGCTCATGAATCAGATCATCAATTGCATATGGAACCACCCAGATGCACCGGTTGTCTATCTTGCTTGTGATATGTTGGGCCAAGAGGATATTCTGTTAGAAGTTTCCAGAACGTTTGGCTCCAAGATTTATGTCGACAAAGCTACAAACTTCGAATGTTTCAGATCGTTAATGGTTATAGTTCCTGAAATTGTCACTGAAGATCCTTCTTCCCGGTTTCACATATTCAGTGGGTTCCCTAAGCTATATGAAAGAGCAAGTGCAAAACTTGCTGAGGCGAGATCGAAACTTCAGAGTGAACCTCTTATCATCCGCCCTTCAGCTCAGTGGTATGTTTGTGATGATGAAGATTGTTTCGAAAGTGGAAGCCAAATTCAAAAGCAGAGAAAAGTTAGGTTTAGTGAAGCTGTCAAGGATGAGTTTGGTATTTGGCATGTGTGTTACTCCATGCATTCATCCAAAGAAGAATTGGAATCAGCGATGCAACTTCTTTCTCCGAAATGGGTTGTATCAACGGTTCCTTCTTGTCGAGCTATGGAACTGAACTATGTGAAGAAAAACTGTTTTATCAGTCGGTTTTCTCCTGATGATCCTGTTTGGAAACTTCTAGACATTGACATGGAAGTTGCTCCAGCTACGCCAAGTGATACTCGCATGGTAACTCTTAGTTCTTGTCTCATGAGTGAAGAACTTGCTCTGGATTCTGCAAATTCCAAGATGGAACCCGTAATTGAGTCCCCTCGCGTAAAAAAGCAGCTTCTATGTTTATCCCCCGCAAAAAATCTTCCTATAACTCTGTTTGGGAGAGCAAGGCTAAGTTCTCAGGAATCTGATCAACTACATGGGAGAAAAGCCATACACACTCAATGTGTATACACCAAAACCTCGCCGAAATTAGAAAAGTCGAATCTGGAGGAAGTAGTTGAGTCTTTGCAAGATGATACCAGAGAAGATACAATGGAGAAGGAATCTTGTAAAAGCTTTTCTTATTCTTCTTCTTCAAAGGAGACTTGCAAAGATCTTAGTGGGGATTTGAGAAAACTATACAGATCAATGAACGCACCTGTACCTCGGCCATTACCATCACTGATGGAGCTTATGAACGCTAGGAAACGCTCTCGGAACCACTTGAGCTTCTAGCAATACAAAACGCACAATAGCGCAGGTTTTATATCAATTGCGTTTCATATCTTAGCCTGATCACATTCTTAGAATCTCAAGCTCCAAACATATATACGTTATATTTTTTTAGCAGTTTGTAATGATTGTAATCATTCATATCAAGTTATATAACATTATCGGTGGATCTAACGTGTACAACATTATTTGAGTGGACATATTAAATGTTGGGATTTTCTATGGAGTACAAATCAAACTTAAATGAAACTAAAAAAACGGTTTCAAGGTCCTTATGGGGTCCAGCTCTTTTTTTTTTTAGTAATTGCCATCACATTTTTCTTTTAGAAAGAATTTCCATCACATTTTCGTAAGAAAAAAAGAAAATTATAGGTCAAGAAGGATCCTAGTAACTTATTACTCCTCTGTTTCATGAAGTTTTGATGTTTTGAGATTTGCACATATATTAAGAAAAAATAAATCTAACAAATTTTAACACAATTTCAAGACAATTAAAATACATTATAGCCAGTGTCTTAAACAAACAAACAATCAAATTGAAATCGATCATTATGAACAATAGCACCTCTACATTTTTTATATCGGAAGCATATGTTATAACAAAAGATATTTATTGTTTACATATACTAAAAAAAGGCATAAATATTTGATGGTTGTGTGCTTTCCGCAGTGAAGTTGCCAAACTAGCCTGAAATAACATGTTTTGACTTCTGATTTTAAGGCATTTTAGCCAGAAGAGCGTATTTTATTATGATGCAGATTTTTTCTTACTATTGCATTTAATGTTTTATCGATTTTGGCTTGCTTACCTAAACTCGGCTCCAAGGTCACTATTTTTGTAAGGGTGTGCATTTTGGTTTATATCAAGTTTGATAAGACTCTAACCGAATTCTACCGGAAGTA